GGCCTTGACACAAATGACAGAGTGTATGAATTCCAGTATGTGGGGTGGGAGCCTATGGGAGGTGCCAGTGGTGAAAGTGATAATAAAGATGATTAAGATTGATTGGGATGTTCAGTATGAAATACACAAAAATTCAATTAAAAAAAACCTGCTTTCAAGAACATTGTAAAAACCATTTGGTGCAAAAGCACTGGATGTATATAATAATAAATAAGAAAAAAAAAGATATTGAAAGTTGCAAGAGAGAAATATCAACACACATACAAAGGCGGACCCATCAGAAAAACAGCTGATTTTTCAGTAGAGACTATGAAAGCCAGAAGGGCTTGGACCCATGTCCTACAAGTCCTGAAAGAATAGAGATGCCAGCCCAGACCCTTCTATACCCAGCAGAACTATCAGTTGTAATCAAAGAAGAAAGAAAAACTTTCCATGATAAAAAAAGATTTAAGGAATTTATGTCCACTAAGCCAGATCTACAGAGGATACCAGAGAAACACTTCAGTTTGAAGAAAAGATTAAACATACCCAAGAGGGCACAAGGAATAAATAATTCCAGAACAACTAACCAAAAGACGGCTAAGAAAACAACAGCACAATATAACAGGAATCAATAAACATTAGTAATAACTCTCAACATTCATAGTCTCAATTACTCAGTAAAAAGGCACAGACTGACTGGATTAGAAAACAGGATCCATCTTTTGGCTGCCTCCAAGAAACACACCTCACCCTCAATGCTCAACACCGCCTTAGGATAAAAGGATGGAAAAAAGTATTCCTAGCAAATGGAACTAAGAAACAAGCAGGCATGACTATTCTAATATCTGACAAAATAGACTTCAAACTAAAACTAGTCAGAGGGTCTAGAGAATGGCTCAGTAGTTAAGAGCATTTGCTGCTCTTGTAGAGGACCTAAGTTTAGTTGCCAGTACCCATGTTGGGTGACTCATAACCACCTTATGAGCTCCAGGGGATCTAACACCTCTGGTCTCCATAGGCACCTGAATTCTCCTGTACATACTCAGGCACAGACACACGCATACACTTAATTAAAACTAAAATAAATCTGAAATAAATTTTTTAAATATTTTATTTATTATTTTTATTTTATGTGTATGAGCATTGTGCCTGCATGTAGGTAAGTGCATCCATGTCGTGCAATGCTCGCAGAGGACAGAAGAGGCTGTTGGATCCCCTGGAACTGGAGTTACGGACAATTGTTAGCTGCCATGGGGGTACTGGGATTTGAACCCGGGTCTTCTGCAAGAACAGTCAGTGATCTTAACCCCTGAACCATCTCTCTAGCCCCAAATAAATTTTTTTTTAAAAAAACTAAAACTAATCCAAAGATACAGGGAGGGCATTACATACTCACTGAAGGAAAGATTTGCCAAGAGGATACTACAGTTCTAAATATATATGCACCAAACACAGGGGCACCTAATTTCATAAAAGAAACACTACTAGATCTAAAATCACAGATTAACTCCAACATAGTGATAGCATATGACTTCAATATCCCACTGTCACCAATAGGCAGGTCATTAAGACAGAACTAAACAGAGAAACCCTAGAGTTAAATGACATCATATATCAAACAGACATTTACAGAACACTCTACCCAAACACCAAAGAATGCACTTTCAGCAGTCCATGAACTTTCTTCAAAATCAACAAAGCAAGTCTCAAAAACTTTCGGACAATTGAAATAACACCCTGTTTTCTATATGATCATGAAGGAATAAAGGTGGATATCAACACCAATGGAAGTGGGAAAAGTACCAAAACTCATGGAAACTAAACAACACATTATTAAATGAAAATTGGGTCAAGAGAGAAATCAAGAAGGGAATTTAAAAAATTCCTAGAAGTGAATGAAAATGAAAACACAACAAACCAAAATCTATGGGACATAATGAAGGCAGTCCTAAGAGGAAAGGTTATGACATACATAAAAAGATGGAGACATCTCACAATTATAAATTGATGATACATCTTAAGGCCTTGGAAAAACAAAAACAAGTAATACCTGAAAAAGAGTAGACAAGAAGAGATAATCAAAATCAAAGCTGAAATGAAGGAAAAAGAAATGGAAAAAAAATTACAAAGAATCAATGAAACAGTTGATTCTTGAAAAGATTAACAAGATTGACAAACCTTTAGCCAAATTAATGAGAGGACCCAAATTAATATTTTAAAAGGGAAGGATTAAAACACATAACTGAAGAAACTCAAAGAATCATTAAAACATACATTAAAAACCTATATGCCATTAAATTGGAAAATCTAATCTCCCAACTAAGAAAAGCTCAGAAGCAGATGAGTACAATGCAGAACTTTACCAGATCTTCAAAGAAAAACTAACATCAATACTGTGAATTATTCTGTAAAATAGAAAAGGAAGGAACACTTCCAATTTTTTTTATGAAGCCAGTATTACCCTGATACCAGATCAGATAAAGATTCAATTAAAAAAGGAATGAAGAAAGAAAGGAAAGAAGGAAGAAAATTATACCCAATCTCTGGGATGAACATAGATGCAAAAATTCTCAATAAAATACTTGCAAACTGCTTTTCTGCCTCTGCTGCTACCTTTGCTTGTGGCGAAGGGGGACAAAAAAAGAATCAGGTTTTGAAGTTCACCCTTGGCTGTGCCCACCCTGTAAAAGAAATCAAGGATGCTCCCGATTTCGAGCAGTTCCTCCAGGAGAGAATCAAAGAGAACAGAAGGCTGGGAATTTCAGTGGAGGGGTTGTCACCACCCAAAGGAGCAAGAACAAGACCACTGTCACTTCTGAGGTGCCTTTTTCCAAAAGGTATTTGAAATATCTCACCAAAAAATATTTGAAGAATATCTACATGATTGGTTATGTGTAGTAGCTAACAGCAAAGAGAGCTTTGTATTACATTACTTCCACATTAACTAGAATGAAGAGGAGGAGGAGATGAGAATTAAAACACATTGATCTGGAATATGAATTAATGAATAAAATTTAGGAACAACAACAACAACAAAAATACTTGAAAACCAAATCCAATAGCACATCAAAAAGATTATCTACCATAAACAAGTTGACTTCATTCCAGAGATGCAGGGATAGTTCAATGTATGTAAACTGATAAATGTAATCCACGATCAAGGATAGAAACCACATGATCATCTCCTTAGTTGCAGAAAAGATCTTTGACAAAATCCAACATCCCTTCATGATAAAGTCATGGATAATCTAGGGATACAGGGGCCATATCTCAACACAATAAAGGCAATATACAACAAGCCCACAGTTAACATCATACTTAATGGAGAAAAATTCAAAGCACTTCCACTAAAATCAGGAACAAGACAAGGACATCCACTTTCTCCATTCTTGTTCAATATAGTGTGTGAAGTTTTAGCTAGAGCAGTAACACAAATGAAGGAAATAAGAAGGCTACAAATTTGAAAGGAAGGAGTCAAAAGTATCCTTTTTTGCAGATGACATAATTCTCTCTCTCTCTCTCTCTCTCTCTCTCTCTCTCTCTTTCATCCCTTCTTCTTCCTCTTCTTCTTCCTCCTCCTCCTCTTCTTCTTCTTCTTCTTCTTCTTCTTCTTCTTCTTCTTCTTCTTCTTCTTCTTCTTCTTATATATAAATAAAACCTAGAGTCTACCAGAAAATCAGTAGCCTTTCTATTTACAAATGACAGACGGAGAAAGAAATAAGGACAAGGGTCCCATCCTCAAAAGTCTCAAAAAAAACAAACAAAAGAAAGACTTTGGAATAAATCTAACCAAGGAAGCGAAAGACTTGTATAAAGACATCGAAGAAAGCAATCAAAGACACCAGAAGATGGAAAGACCCCCCATGCGCATGAATCTGTAGGATTAATACTGTGAAAATGGCCATCCTACCAAAAGTAATCTACAGATTCAGTGCAATCCCCATTAAAATTCCAACACAAGTCATAGAAATTGAAAACATAATCTCACATTTCACATGGAAACACACAAAAAACCCAGGATAGCCTAAATAATCCTAAACAATAAAAGGAGCTGGAGGCATCAGTACCCCTGATTTCAAAGTATACTATAGAGCTATAGTAATAAAAACAGCATGGTGCTGGCATAAAACAACACATTGATCAATGGAACAGAATTGAGGACCCAGATTTAAGTAAATGTGCATATAGCCATCTGATTTTTCCCTGGCAAGATATACCTATGGTGCAATAGTGGTAGGAATGTTAAGGGGTAACCAATCACTTTCTGATTGGATTTAAGGCCCTCTTCACAAGACGGAGCCCATACTTGACACTCTTATCAGAACCACAAACCTGTGGTTAGACAAGCCACAGGTCATAGGGGATAATCTACTACTATTATTCTGCTGAATGATGGTCATCAGAGAAGCTTCCTGAAGCACAGAGACCTGCAACTGGTCACTGTGAGAAAATGAGCAACTGTGCAGTGCCCAGTCCTAAATGGGACATCTATATCACACATTCTCTTCCCAAGGCTCAGGGATCATCGTAGAAGAGGGGGCAGAAAGACTCTAAGAGCTAGAGGTGGTGGTAAATACAAGGACACAGCAGGGCAGTTACACATTTGGGCCCACAATGCTGGTGACAACATATACGAGACCTGTGTAAGCCCAAGTCAGACTGAAACCCAGCACAGACAGGGGAGGTGGGCAGGAAGTCCTTGCCCTAGCTGAGGCAACTGACAAGTGATAGCTGCTAGGAGAGGAAGCTAGTTTTCTTTAAGGTTGTGACACATGGGTAGATTGACTAGGCTCCAAGGGATAGACTCACACCCAAAAGCATTCGGGGAGCACAAATTAGACTGGATAGGCCTTAAAAATAGCAGACATGAAGCTGGGGTGGGGAGCAGTAAGGTGAAGGCAGAGATGGGGGGCTGAAAAAGATTAAAATACATGGTATGAAATTCTCTAAGAATGAATAAAAGTATTTTAAATTAGTATCAGACCATGATTTCTCCTGAGTTACTGAGTTCAACTTACCATCAAAGCGAACACGAGGCCGTTCTAAAAACATCTCTCTCCAGGAAGAGTATGGAGTAAGTTTCACACAGCTTCTGCCCCAGACTTTCAAGCAGGCTAGACGCCATATTTCAGGGTCTCTAGGTTAAAAAGGGACAATATCCATAAATGCAAAAAGCTTAGAAACAAACAAATATTTGGCTATTAAGTTTTGGGTTTTTTTTTTTTTTTTTTTCATTAAATTCTGCAACTGCAAGGTACTGTTTCAAGGGGTGGGCAGAGTCTGAAAGTCAAGCGTGAAGACCACGCTTTCACTGGTGAAAGGGAAGATTCAGGTAGTGTGCTCAGCACAAACATCAGCCAATGAAGCAATGCACTAAGAATGATGGTGTGGAGGAAATGCACCCTTTTGGTCAGGGTTGGCTGGAAAAGGCCTCTGCAGAGGCCACCACAGTGATAGTGAAGACAGTCATGGGCAGTAGCCCCAAGTGCAAGGTTCTGTGTTGAGGAGTGAAGGTGGTTCAGGACACAGTAGATAAGCACAGGATGCAACAAAGTGAGCGAGCTCAGAGAGGTAGACCAGGCAGCCTCTTGCAGGAGTGCTGGCTTACATGAGATGCATGCCACTAAAGGCTTTGAGCATGATTTATGCTTTCAATAGATCACTCTGGGAAAGAAGGCAGAGCGAGGTGGCAGAATAGGACTATGTAAGAGAAACTGAACTGAAAAATGAGTCAGAAATTCTGAAAAATGCCAGAAGAGCATCAGCCACAATGATCAATCAGAGCATCTATGAACTTGATAACAGGAGAAAATAGAATGGCAGGAATGAAGAAAGGTTGCAGAATTTACGAGACAGCACAAAAAGAGCAAAGTTGGTGGCATGCAACAGAGTAGGGAATGTCAAAGGGACAGAAAGCCCCTTAAGGAAATAACAGCGGAAAGTTTCCCAAACCTGTAAAAAGATAAAGACCAGGGATTTGGGAAGGCAAAGGATCCTAATTAAATATATCAAAATACAAGTGACAAAGAGAACATCCTGTAAAGAGCAAGAGAAGAAACCAAAACACATGAGCGAAGCTCGAGTACACCTGGCAGCAGCCCTCCCCACAGGAGCTTTAACTGAAAGTCAGGCCAGTGGGATAACAGATTTCAAACAATGAAGGAAAAGTAACTGCTCACCGGACAGTCAGGCTCCCAGATGGCTGCACAGAAATCTTCTGACTGCCACAGAGAACCAGGCCAACAAAGGGAAATCTGCATTTCCATCACTAGCTAGGAGACTTCTGGAAACTACCAAGGAAGTGACAAGAACCCCAAGCAACACTGCAACTTAAGGGAAAGAAAGCAAACGGCAACTTCAGTCCCAGTTTCTGGGAAGAGAGCCCTCCATGCCAGGAAAAAGTAAGCAGGAAAGTATCAGCCCTAAAGAGCCCTCCATGCCAGGAAAAGGTAAGCAGGAAAGTATCAGCCCTACAGCAGACTGGCAGTCCTAACCACACCATTAATTCCATGGTGCTCATAGGCCTTACTGGGGGAGAAGTAGGAAAAAGGTGCTGGGGACTGAACCCAGGGACTTGCATGAGCTAGGCGAGCACTCTACCACTGAACTATAGTCCTTGCATTCTCAGAGGCCTTAAAGACAATCTGAGGAGTTAGCAAATAGAAGAGTGACTGTCAGCCTCCAAAAAAGGAACTTGCCTTTCCCTCCCCAGAATCCAACCTGCAACAACAGCCAGAGTTCGCTATCAACTTGCCTTAGGGGCCAGCAGCCAGTTCCCTGATGCTGCTAGAAATCTTGGGTTTGTGGGGGCCTCACAGTCACTCAGCATCCTGCAGCTTCAAATCAGCAGGTCCACAGCCACAAGTTTGAGTCCCACCTGTACTTACAGCAGGGCCTCTTCCTTGGCCCACTGTGTGGCACTGCTGCTGCTGCAGTGCCAGCTTCATCTATGCCTGTGCACCAGAAGCTGGGGGAGGTCCCAGCCATGGGAGGCACCTCTAGGAACAAAGCTACCAGAGCACCAATCCTCACCTGCACTGTGAGGGATTAGGTAAAGTCTCCTCCCCAAGTCTAAACCTCAAGACTGGCTATGAGTACCCCGCATCACCTGCTGCTGTCTCTCAGAACCTGGGAATGTCCCTAAGGACTGTGTGCTCACAGTCTAACCCTGAGGGACCATTAGGAGGTGATAGAACTTCTAGGAGGCACAAGCCTACTGGGAATAATTTAAGGCACTGTGGCAGGCCCTTGGAAGGGAGGATGGGAAGTTAACTTCTTCACCTTTTACTTCCCAGCTACAATGTGGTCAGCAGTGTCCACTACCAATGTACATACTCCTCACCATTATGTCCTGTTTTGCTACAGGTCCCAAAGAAACAGTCAACTGACAAAAAGACTAAAACCTCTGAAACCATCACACCAAACAAATTTTCTTTTTTAAATTTAATTAAAATTTATGTGTATGAGCATTATGCCTCCATGTATGAAAGTGCAACCATGTCATTCAATGCCTGGAGGCCAGAAGAGAGCATGAGATTCCCTGGAAATGGAGTTACAGACAGCTGTAAGCTGTCATGTGGATGCTGGGATTCGAACCCAGGTCTTCTGCAAGAGCAGCCACTGCCCTTAACTACTGAGTCATCTCTCCAGCCCTCCCAAAAAACTTTTACAGCTGTTTGTCACATATACCGTGTCACACTGACAGAAAGCTACCACAAATTCATTTATGCCCAGAGCTCTAGAAATATATGCATCAGTGTTCCAAACCTGACACATCACATATTCCTCCCCAACAGGAGGATACAAAAAGCCCCAGCAGCACACAAGCCCAAGCAGAGCCCACTCATATCCTGCAGCTCCAGGACCCTGACTACCACCGTTAGAAGCCTTGGCTTGACCAGTGAGTCCCACATGACCTGGGATGTCAGAATACAGACAGCAAAACCACATGCCCAGCACCACTGACGCTCAACCCACGCTGCTGCCATATCCTGATACTAGTACCACAAGCCCAAATCTACCCACATGTAATCATGAAACTTGTGCACTGGGGACCACAGCTGGTACCAAAAGCCCCAGCATCACTTGTACTTGTCCTATGGGACCTGGCATCTGGTTTCCCTAGCTCCAAGAAAGTGGCTCTCAGGGCCTTAGTCCCATTACTGCTCCCATTAGACTGCCAACCAGTACTAGCCAACCAGTACTAGCCAACACATTATTAGACAGAAATCACCTAACCACAAAAGACAGAGAGGAAGAAAGTCTACAAAAAAACTAGAAAACACTTACTAAAATGCAACAGTAAATCCTCACATATCAATTACCCTGAATACAAAAGGATTAACTTTCCACTAACAGACTGTCTGGAAGGAGAGAACTGATTTTTGTAAGCTGTCTTCTGACCTTCACACATACACTGTAATTATGCATGGACCCACACACATACACATATGCAAATAAATAACGTGATAAATATTTTAAAAACTCATGTTGACTATCACCATACTCTTGTCAGATTCTCAAATAGAGAAAAGATAACAAGTTTTGGCAAGTATGGGGAGAAAAGGAACCTGTCTACTGGCATCTCTTGGTGAGAATGTATATTAGTATAGCCACCACTGAAAATGGTCCAGAGGTTCCTCAAAGTATTAAAAATAGAATTACTGTATGACCCATCAATCCTACTACTGAGGGAAAGAGAGCGGGAGAGAGAACCCTTCTGAAAAGGTTTTTAAAGAAGACTTATCTTTATTTCTGTGTGTATGCCATTTATGTTCAGGTGCCCACAGAGACCAGAAAGGGGCATCAGATCCCCTGGAGCTGGAGTTAACAAGCTGTTGTGAGTCACTGGAGGTAAGTGCTAGGAACCAAATTTGGGTCCTCTGCAAGAGCAGCAAGTGCTCTTAGTTGTGAGCCATCTCTCCAGGCCGTGTGTGTGTGTGTGTGTGTGCACACTTGTGTGCAGGTGCATGCAGTAGACCAGAAGAGGGTATGGATATCCTCCTCTATCACTTTCTGCCTACTCTGAGGCAGGGTCCCTTCCTGAACATGGAACTAATGTTTTTTGACCAAGTTGGAAGCCAGCAAATCGAGTAATTCTCCTGTCTCCATTCATCTGAGCTGGGGTTCCAGGCACTTGTGGGGATGTCTGGCTTGTTATATGGGTGCTGGAATCTGAAATTTCGTCCTAATTAATGAATAAGGAACAAACACCTTAAGAGGTAAGCCATCTCTCTAGTCCCATACTGGGTATACATCTAAAGGAACTGAAATCAGTAAGTAAAAGAGTTATCTGCATGTGCATGTTTACTGTAGCACTTAATAACAGTCAAGACCTAACCAATCCAAGTGTTCATCAATACATGAATGGATAAACAAAGTGTGGCATTCAGGCATAATGGAATATGAGTCAGAATAAAGAATGAAATCCTGTCATTTCCTGTGACATGGATGAGGACTGGGGATATAGTTCAGTAGTATAGTACCTGCCAACCATGCACAAAGCTCTGTGTTCAATGACCAGATCTGAAAAAATAAATTAATTTAAAAAGTAGAAGTAACCCAATAACACGGATTACCTACAAGTTCATATGTTAAGTGAAGTAAGTCAGGCACAGAAGACTAGTACAGCAGCACCCTACGTGTGACATTTAAGAACAGCTGGTCTCACAGACACAGAGAATAGAATGCTGGGGGGCTGAGGGATGGAGGGTGTTGGTCAAAGATTATATGATCACAGAAGAAATAATGCCAAGAATTCTATTGTATAGCACTGAGACTACAGCTAATAAAGATACAGTGTGTTCTTCAATGATGCAAAGTGAGTAGATGCTCAGGATGCCTACCACAAATAAGGCAAATTATTTGTTACTTAGCTAGATTTGCCTATTCCTAAGGTATATGTACCTCAAATCATCACACTGCATACAATAAATGCAAATAATTTTTATGTCAATTAAAATAATTAAAGGGATTGGAGAGATGGCTCAGTGATTAAGAGCACTGGCTGCTCTTGCAGAAGACCCAGGTTTGGTTCCCAGCACACAAATGGTGGCTAACAACCGTCAGTAACTTCAGTTCCTTTTTAAAAAATATTCATTATTTTTATTTTATGTGTATGAGTGTATTGCCTGCACATAGGTAAATGCACCTGTGTTGTGCAATGCCTGCGGAGAACAGAAGATGCTCTCGGATCCCCTAGAACTGGAGTTACAAACAGTTGTTAGCTGCCATGTGGGTGCTGGGATTCAAACCCAGGTCTTCTGCAAGAACAGCCAGTGTTCTTAACTGCTGAGCCATCTCTCCAGCCCCTTAAAAAAACTTAAAAAAAAAATAAAATAAATAAAGCTGGGCGTGGTGGTGCACACCTTTAATCCCAGCACTTGGGAGGCAGAGGCAGGAGGATCTCTGTGAGTTCAAGGCCAGCCTGGTCTACATAGTGAGTTTTAGGCCAGCTGGGGCTACAGGGAGACCCTGTCTAAAAAAGACCAATAAGTAAATAAATAAATAAATAAATAAATAAATGCTGGCTGGGCATGGTACCCCACCCCCAGCCCCAGCAGAGGTAGAGGACTGCTGCAGCAAGCTGGCTAGTCAGACCAGCCATATCATCAAGCTCCACGGTTGATAACAGACCCTGTCTCAATATATAAGGAGGAGAGTGATCAAAGGTGACATCACCTGATGTCTATGTCAGGTCAATCAAATGTGTACACACACACAATTAAATAAAAGATGTACTAAAAGTTGACATGCTTCAAGTCAGATGTGGTAGCACATGCCTTTAACCCCAGCACTCAGATTGCAGAGGCAGGTGGATTTCTGTGAGATCAAGGTCAGCCTGGTCTACATAGTGAATTCCGTGCAGATGGGGCCATAGGGAAACCCTGTCTCAAGCAGAACAAAACAAAATACACATGGTTCTGATGCAGCTCAAAACATTCCTAAATCCCACTGGAGAAAAGACAATATCTTCAGTAAATGGTGCTGGTCAAACTGGAGAGCTATATGTAGAAGAATGAAACTAGATCTTTCCCTCTCACCCTGCACAAACTCAATTTCAAATGGATCCAAGACCTCAATATAAGACCTGATTCTGTAAATCTGATAGGAGAGAAAGTCGGAAATATACTGGAAACTTACAGACACAGGAAAGACTTTTTTTTTCTTTAAGATAGGGTATCATTATGTAGCCCTAGCTGGCCTAGAACTTGCTATGTTCTCAAAACATGAAACAGAGTTCTCAAAACATGAAATGCAAATGATTGAGAAATATTTTTTTAAATGTTCAACATCCATCAAAATAAAACTACTTTGCCATTTCATCTTAATCCAGTCAGAATGGCTAAGATCAAGGACAAATGACAACAAATGCTGGTGAGGATGTGGGGAAAAGAGAAATTTATCCACTGATGGTCTGAATGCAAACTAGTATAGCCACTAGTGCGGATCAGTGTGGAGGTTCCTCAAAAAGCTAGAAATCCACATGATCTACTCATGATTCAGCTATACCACTCTTGGGCATACACCCAAAGGACTCTATATCCTACTACAGAGATATCTGCTCATCCACATTTACTGATACACAATCAGGAAACGGAAGTATTGATGGAACGGATAATGAAAATGTGGTACATTTACACAGTAATTATTCAACTGTTAAGAAAAATGAAATTACAAGATTTGCAGGTAAACGGATAGAGCTGGAAATCATCATTCTGAGTGAGGTAACTCAGACCCTGAAAGGCTGCTTTGAATCTTTGGCCAAGTGTATTTATGGAGGTCAGGAAGCTGGTAGCAAATCATGGGGGAGGGAGGCTTTCAAGGGAGGGGATGTTGGGATTAGAGAGATGGCTCAGCAGTTAAAAGCACAGGCTGCTCTTGCAGAGGACCTGGGTTCCGTTCCCAGCACCCACATGGTGGCTCACACCCCTCCAAAATTCCAGTTAATCTAACGCCATCTTCTGGCCTCTGTGGGCACTGCATACACTGGTGCACCTACTCATACACATAAAAATAAAAATAAATAAATATTTTTTAAAAGTTTTTTTGAGATAAGTCTCACATAATCCAAGTTGGTCTCAAATTCACTATGCAGTCTAGGGTTACCTGAAACTCAGGGTCCTCCTGATGTTACTCCAAGTCCTGGGATTATAGGCATGTACCAACAAGCCTGGCTTAAGTTTGCTTACTTTAACAATTATTGTCATTTCAGGATGACATATGAACATATAAAGTTTTCTTTCTTTCTTCCCTCCCTTCCTTCCTTCCTTCCTTCCTTCCTTCCTTCCTTCCTTCCTTCCTTCCTTCCTTCCTTCCTTCCAAGGAATACAGAATTCCAGTTAAGCAGAAAGAATAAATTCAACAGTGTATAGTGCAGCATGTACAGTCTGGGTACTAAAGTAAATGATGGTATATTGCATTACTGAAAATGTTAAACAGTAGATCCTAAATATTGTCAACACAGAAAGTAACCATGTGCAGTAATGTAGCCCCAGATGGCCTGGAACTCACTGTGTAGTCCAGGCTGGGCCTTGAACTCACAGAGATCTGCCTATCTCTGCCTCCTGAGTCCTGGGATTAAAGACATGCGCCACCACACCCAGCACATGAAGTTTTATTTATAAAAATTTGCTTTCTCTATCAAACTGTTGTGTCTTCTCATGTATAATTAACAGGTGTTTGTGCAATAGAATAAGACAGAATAATAAAAATCCAGGCTTTGAGAAATTAGTTTATGCAAAATAGATTTTTTTTAACTTTTAAAAAAATTTATTGCCAGGCGTTGTGACGCACAACTTTAATCCCAGCACTTGGGAGGCAGAGGCAGGTGGATCTCTGTGAGTTCAAGGCCAGCCTGGTCTACATAGTAAGTTCCAGGCCAGCTGGGGCTACAGGGAGACCCTGTCTCAAAAAAAAAAATTCAGGCACGATCAGGGACAAATGGGTTCATACAGAACTATGAGCATTCTTCACACAGCAACAGTTTAAAAGTATAGGACAGCTTACTTAAGGGGTGAAAAGAACACTATAATGCAATCTAAATCTAACCTCATCACTTCATGGGTTTAGAGTTACTGTGCAAATACCTTGAATATATTTCTGTCTCTTCCAAATCAACTAAACTGGCATTGAAATTATGGAAGCCATTGGTGAAACTATTTTACATATCGTGCTGAAAACCTAGCACATTCTAACCTTTATTTGGGAAAAATCATATCAAGTAAAGCTTTGCAAAATTTCTCTTTAATCAAGCTTTTTTTATTTATTTATTTTAATTGCCTGAGTCGTTTCTAAAACCCAGTACCTGGCACAGATGTAGAATCCTCTGCATACCAGTGACAACTGTTCTAAGGATCTAAGGTCCAGGTCACTTGATACCACCCATCTGAAGATGTACATCAGGACCTCCATCGGCAGCACTGTAAAAGCAAAGCATCCTTCAGTGACTCCCCTCATGCCATGTACTATAAAACCACAATGCATTTATACATTCCTCAGCACTGCACAGACATACAGCAGGAGTGGATTTTCACTATCCAGTAGTAAACATGTTCCCTACACAACACAAAAATCCTTATTTTTCAGTATAGACTTGAAATCACTTAGATAAAACACAATTTTGCCTTGCACACTTATTTTATTGTCAAGATATATTAAAATGTGAAAAATAATGTACTGATTCATACATTTAACACTAAAAAGTTACTTTATCTCAAATCTTTAAACAGTCCTCCCATAAATAATATTTAATATATGAAAAATGTTCATTTCTCGGGGCTGGAGAGATGGCTCAGCAGTTAAGAGCACTGGCTGTTCTTGCAGAAGACCTATCCTTAACAACTGCACTACAAACCCTGTTGTTTCAGGCTGGGTATGGTGACACACACCTTTGATCCCAGCACTTGGGAGGCAAAGGCAGGCGGATCTCTGTTTTCTCTGTGAGTTCAAGGCCAGTCTGGTCTACACAATGAGTTCCAGGTGAGCTGGGGTGACAGGGAGACCCTGTCTCAAAAAGACCGAAAAGAAACCCAAACCCTGTTGCTTCAGATATGGAAAAGGATACATATTTATCTATAGCCATTATAACTAGATCGTTCCTCATATTTGGAACTACAGCACTAATTATCCGAATCTTTTAGGTCCAAAAACCTTCATAGGAAGACTCAATATTTCTGAGTAAAAACACAGAAAGGCCAAACCTGATATGTGGGTCTGACTGCTCTCCAGCTCAGGCTGACACAGTTTGAGCACAGATTCCTGAAATGTGAGCTGCTGCTGAAAGTAGGACAAGAGATCTGCCATCTGGTTATCATCATCGTTATCTTCAATGCTGAAAAAAAGAGGTAGGTAAATAAATGACATGTCTCAGATGATGGACACAATGTAAGAAATGTTATTTTTCATAGTATTTTCAAATCTGCTTTAAAAACAAACTTTCTGCAGGGCATGGTGGCGCGTGCCTTTAATCCCAGGCCTGGGGAGGCAGAGGCAGGCGGATCTCTGTGAGTTCAAGGCCAGCCTGGTCTACATAGTGAGTTCCAGGACAGCTGGGGCTACAGGGAGACCCTGTCTCAAAAAGACCAAATAATAATAATAATAATAATAATAATAATAATAATAATAATAATAATAATAATAATAATAAAATTAAAAAGTAAAATAAAATAAAAACAAACTTTCTTACTACTATTAATGTAGTAATGCATATCCTGCCTTGCAGTGAAGTATTGTATCAAGCTTCTCAAAGAAAAAAAGCTTTGGAAATATGTTAATTATCACTCAAAGAATTAGGACTTTTAGGGTCAGGTACTGAGATTTAATTAATTTTATTGTAGAGACTTAATGAGTTAGTAAAGAAAATTAAGTGATTTGAAAACCTTCTGTAAGTCCTTTAGTGATTTTTTTTTTGGTCTTTTTTGTTTTGTTGGTATTTTGTCTTTTGGGGGGATCTGAGGACTGAACCCAGGACCTTGAGCTTGCTAGACAAGCACTCAACCAACCACTGAGCTAAATCCCCAACCCATTAGTGATCTTTGAAAAAAATAAGCTATGCCGGGCATGGTGGTGCCTGCCTTTAATCCCAGCACTCAGGGGGCAGAGGCAGGCGGGTCTCTGTGAGTTCAAGGCCAGCCTGGTCTACATAGTGAGTTCCAGGACAGCTGGGGCTATAGGGAATCCCTATCTCAAAGAGATGAAAAAAAAAAAGGTTGTGTAGTGGAGGTTCACCTTTAATCCCAGCCCTTGACAGACAGAGTTAGATCGAGGCTAGCCTGGTCCATATAGTGGCGGGGGCTAAGGGAAACCCCTTCTCAAAAAAATTAAAAAAAAACCAGGTGTAGTGTAGTGGAGGTTCACCTTTAATCCCAGCCCTTGACAGACAGAGTTAGAGTGAGGCTAGCCTGGTCCATATAGTGACTTCCAGGTAGGTTGGGACTAGGGAGACCCTGTCAAAAAAAAAATTATTTTATTTGATGTGTATGGGTGTTTTGTCTGCATGTATGTAAGTGTACGCATTTCATGCAATGCCCATAGAGGTCAGAAGAGGGCACTGGATCCCTGGAATAGGAGTTGCAGATGGCTATTGGCTGCCATGTGGGTGCTGGGAGCTGAACCTGGGTCCTCTGCAAGGGCAGCCAGTGCTCTTAACTCCTGAGCCATGGCTCCAGCTCCTTCTTTAGTGATCTTAATTCCTTCTGACGACATAAAAATATGATATACAGAAGATATCTGAGTTATTTACTAATAGCATCTATTAACTTGTCACACTATCCTAAAGAGTAAAACATGAATAGACCTTAAGATCCACAAATTATCTACCAATATATACAGATGAGTAGTTACTGTTCTAAAAATGTTTTAGCTTTCCATTTTGGAGGAAGTTAACCTTGATAAAGATAATCAGAGTTATAAAAAAGGTTTTCACAAGGAAAAAGTTAGGAAACTAGGGAGTGAATTACATAATACAAAAAGAAAATAGGGTTGAGCCAAGATCAACTTAATGGCTTGTCTACATCAAGGAAAAAAAACATAACAAAAAACTTGCAAGGCTTACGTGAACTGGAAAAAAAAATGGATGCATTCTTATAGAACTTTCATAATATCTGGGTTTATAATAAAGGGATATATTTTCTTTAAAAGCATCTAGCACATTCTTATAAAACTGGGTAAGAGCTCAGCACCTAGATGGCAGCTAACAACTAACCGTAACTCCAGTTCCAGGGGATCCAATGCCATCTTCTGTTCTCCACAGCCACTGCACTATACAGGTACACTTACATACATGCAGGCACAACACAAATACACATTAACATAAATAATTAAAAGAAGATTATTTTTAAAATTGTAATTTTGGGACTGTGGATGTAGCTCACTGGCAAAAGCATTTATGTGTTATGTGGAAAACCCTGTATTTGATCCCCAGAAAAATCTCCTCTCCCCAACACGCCCCTCCCCCCAAAGAAATTGGGTAAGAGCTATGCTGGGTAACTCCATCCAAATTCAAAGGTTTAGAAAAAGAGAAGTGATTCATTTTGAGTTTGAACTACCTCATACTGTTAAATCTAATTTGATGAACAGTATTATAAGCTGCAAAGTATAAATAGGCAATTAATACCAACTTCAGAGCTGAAGAGATGGTTCAGTGGTTAAGAGTACTGGCAGCTCTTGCAGAAGACCTGGGTTCAATTCTCAATGTCCACATAGCAGCTAACAACTGTTCATAATTCCAAATGCAGATGAATCTGATGCCCTCTTCTGACCTCCATGGGCATTGCACAACATGGGTACACACACACACACACACACACACACACACACCCATAAATAAATAAAATATTTTTTAAAATACTAACTTCACTGAATGCTCATAATGTGGCTTAGCCAATGTCTTTTTTCACTTTCTTTGTAGCCCCAGCAGGTCTGGAACTCACTACATAAACCAGGCTGGTCTCCATCTCACAGTGATTTGGCTGCCTTTGTCTCCTGAATGCTGGAATTAAAGTCATGCACCACCAAGCCTGATGTCTTATTCAATTCTTAAACGTTGATTTATATGTACTAAGAAACACTGACAATGGGCAAAGTAGGGGACCAGCAAGAAGGCAGAAGAGAAACAAGAAAGCATAATTACACAGACTAAAATGAAGCCCATCATTTTTTAAAACTTTAAAAAATTAAAGAAGCACTGGCAATAAACACAATTATTGGAAAATATAAGTTAATTATTCTTTGACAGAAAAAAGAATAGAATACAGCTAATAACCCCTTACCAAAACTCCTTAATGAGATACAGTCTCATAGCCCTGGTTAGTCACTAATTCATATACAGCTGAGGATGACACTGAACTGATTCTCCCTGCCTCGACACCCAAAGTGTTATCATTATGGGTGTGTGCCACCACACCCACTTTACATGGTACTGATGACTGAACTGTGGGTTTTCTGAATACTGGGTAAATACTCGACCAACTGAGCTACATTCTTAGCCCTCTAATACCCGGTCTTTAAACCTGACACTCCCTCATGGGCACAAATACCTTTCCTTATTGATGTCATAAAACTGGGCTTTTGGAGAAAGATTAGGCCAAAATGATTTTATAACATAATATTTTCAATAGCATTGACTTAAAAATATGCTCTCTTAGGGGAATGGTGGTGCACGCCTTAAACCCAGCACTCAGGAGGCAGAGGCAGGTGGATCTCTCTGAGTTCCAGGCTAGCCAGGGCTACATAGTGAGAGTCCATCTTAAACAAAACAAAAGGAACAAACAAACTGCCCCTTAATCTTTTCTCACAGGAAAGCATCACTGCTGCTTTCCCACTCCGATGCCAGGACTGTCATTACACTGACACATGATCTCTGCATGCTTATATCTTGTATGCTTTTAGACAATGTTAGAGCTTTAATAATGCACAACCTATATACAGTAAGAGAATAAATCACTACAATTTAGCATTTTCCTAGCAGGATGCCTATTTTGAAATGTCAAAGATTCAAACACAGAAAAAGAGAAAACTAGTACGATGACATCCTACACACCCACCACCCGATTCTAACAGTTATTAACACTACGTTTTAGTACTTTCTACTGCAAACAGGCTTCAGAAAGCTGCAAGTATTGTTTATCCTTTTCAAGGATCATTGATTTAATAATAAAAAAACTTTTATCACCTTACTTTTATTTAAAATGTGAATATTAACATTCCCCAGGTTAAATAAGTCTACAACTTTATAAACAGGGACATACTAAACACCACACAGTTAAGAGAATCAGCACTACCTTCTTAGCAAGTTAAGAGTTAAAACGGCAAAGATGCTTAACTTATAAACTTTATACGTTATTGTCTGTTAAATTATATACGCACTAGCTGTTTCCAACGCCATCACCATCTGGAGACCGGGTATAAGTAATCTTGAACTCTATATCAGGTACAAGTTGCATAGCCCTACGATAAAACTTGATGGCTAAAAGAAGAAATAAAGCTAAGTTAGCTATAACCACACATTTTTGTCATTTATTCTGATTACCCTTAACTGTAGTTTAATTCGGTAGATTTCTTTATGAAGACAAATTCTTCCTCTACATGCCACAGTAGCAGCTTACTGAACAAACTCATTTCCAAACCACACTGCTCCAAAGGTGCTTTCTTCAAGCTTAGAGACTGAGATGCATTTAATGCTTATCTTTTTGACCTTCCCATGTGTTTCTATGTCTCATTAGATGGGATTTGACATGGTTGTTGCCTTGGGGAGCTCTAAAAACACAATTATTACAGCTCCAACAGAAGTACTTGTAAACATATTTTTCTTTCTAGGTCAGAGCTGAAGAAAACGAAATGCTGAACATAATAAAATGGTTTTTTAATTCATCCTTCAAATCTAACTTCCTTCAACCCAGTGTGCCCTCTTATTTAGCTATATAACCTTTAAATCTTGCTACGTTTATTTAAATTTTTATTTTTACTTTTGAGTACATGTGTTTCCTGCTGTATGTACACTGTGTGTGTGTGTACCCAAAAAGGCCAGAAGAGGGCAGCAGACCCCCTGGAGCTGGAATGACAGGCAGCTGTGAGCACTAGTGAGCCATCTCTACAGCCCCATAAACCTTGTTACTTTCATTGTTGTTGTTTCTGGGTTTTTTTTAAGGTAAGGTCTTGTTTCCCCTGGTTAGCCTGGTACTACTCACTATATAGCTGAGTCTGGCCTCAAACTTGTGGCAAGCCTCTAAGTGCTGGAATTGTAAGTATTTCACCACCATGTCCTGCCCATATCCTGCTTTTCATAACTCTTCTGGTCAAGTGGTTTATAGCTATAATATTCAATCATCTCTCCCCACTGGAATGTGGGAGTGCAGAAGCTGACTAGTTCTTTTGCTTCCTGATGAAGTCCATTCAATGTGCTACATTCTGCCACACTCTAGCATTCTGGGGCAAGTATCATGCATTACATAGAGGTGGGAATCTCACAAACCAATGAAGATTGCATATGGGACTTGACCAGATAGACTATTGAAATAAATATAAAAATATCACTAGAAGAAACTTCCAAATAAAAACAGCAGCCAGACATAATGATATTTTTCAGGTACTTTCAAATGCCTCAATCTCAAACATATTTTTTATTCCCCAATTATTATGATTACCATCAAAGAAATCTCAATATGGAAAGGAGTCCAATCACTTTGTTTATATACAAAACCCAAGCCTTGCACATGGTAAGCAGGCACCCCGTCACTGAGCTACACCTTCAGCCTTACTAATATGTTTTTTTTTTTAAAATGTGTTTGAGTGTTTTGCCTCCATGTATGAAAGTGCATCATGTGCATACAATGCCTGCAGAGGCCAGAAAAGTGTGTCAGATCCCCTGGTATTGGAGTTATGGATGGTTGTTAGCTACCATATGGGTGCTGGGACTCTAACCCGAGTCCTCTGGAAGAACAGCAAGTGTTCTTAATTGCTGAGCCATCTCTCCAGCCCACTAAGTGACTCTATTGAGTCTACTGAGTTTACTGAAAACAAAGTTGAAGCACTGCCCTTTGGTAAAATGAAAATGCGGCCTTAGAAAGGGCACCTATATGTTCTTTGATTTAATTTAACCTTTATGTTCTATGCTTCAGAAATATTTCCAGAAAGAAAGGAACATATCCTATTTTAAAATGAATACAATTTTAAGACTTCATTAATGAATAACTAATACTAAAATTAAATACAGAAATTTTACTCAGCCTACAAATATAATATTGCTATTGCCCTGCAGTAATTTTTAAAAACTAGCTATACTGACATTTTTACTTATTTTAATTTAATTAATTATTTTTGTGAGACAGGGTCTTACTGTGTAGCCCTGGGTGGCCTGTAACTCACTATGTGGACCACTCTGGACTTGAACCTGTAAGGATCCTCCTACCTCAGGCATGCACCACTGGGCCCAGACAGATTTTTGGTTTTAATTTAAAAATGATTTAAAGTAGAGGGAGGAGGATGTTCTATAGCAAATAAATTCTAGTGCAAAAAATACTGATCACTAACAGTGTCATAAATCCATGATGCTGGGCCTGTGTTAGGCCTGGAATTTTTACCTTCATAGAGAGCTCCATTTTGTTCTTCTTCTACTGCTTTTAGGAAGAGTTCCCGGGCCTGTAAAAATAAAAAGCGAAAAAAAAAAAAAAAAATCTTTGAAAATCTGTATGGAAAGCAGACATTAAGCCAGCACTTGGGAGGTAGAGGCAGTAGGATCGGGAGTTCACGGTCATTCTTAGTCTGAGGACAGTCTGGGTTTCATGAGATCTTGTTTCCTCCAAAAAAATTAATAGTAGAAAGGTAGCATTTTCAATAAATGATGCTACAGAAATTACTCATCCTTGGGGCTGAAGAGCTGGCTCAGCAGTTAAGAGCACTGTCTGTCCTTGCAGAGGACCCAGGTTTGGTTCCTAGCACCCATAAGGCAGCTAATAATCATCCATAACTCCAGGTCCAGGGGATCCCACGCCCTCTTCTGACCTCCGAGGGCATGACACAACAAAGGTGCACTTATATAAATGCAGGCAAAACTCATACACATAAAAATACATCAAGAAAAATGAAAAGAAATTACATATCCATAGCAAAATAATGAACTTTGACCTAAACCTCATACCCTACATTAAAAAAAAAACCAAAAAAAACCTCAAAATGGATTATGAACTGAAAAGTAGATGTAAAACATAAAAATTTAGGGAAAGAAAAAAAACTTGGGAGTCCCAGAACTTGGCAAAGAGTTCTCATACTTGTACTTGTATGACACAATATAATAACCCATAAGTAAAGGTTGGCAACTTCTGCCCTATAAAATCATGTGCTCTCAAAACATCCTAACACTACGATATGATGATCTAAGCTAACACAGCCCCCATGGACTAGGAAGACAAGGAGTAATGAGATGGAGTGAGGAACAGAAGACAGGGAGCAGCTAGCATTCAAAGTGCTTCCACTGTGAACAAGCTCCAAACTCTCCAGAATAAGGAAATGACCAATACAACATTACAGCATGTAATTTTATTAGAGCTTCTCTTGAGTCAGGCACGGTGAGGCACACCTGTAATCCCATCACTCAGGAGGTTAAGTAAGGCAGGAGGATTACTCTAAGTTCTAGGCCAATCTGGGCTACATAGTGAGTTCCAGGCCAACCTGAACCACAGACTAAGAGCCTGTCTCAAGGAAAGATAAAAAGGCTTCTATGAGCATTTGAAAAATTCTACCCCACTGTTAGGGCTTCTGTTAGTAAAGTCTAGATATCTACCTTTGAGAGACTAAGAGACTTTGAAGAGTCTTTAACAAGAATTACATGAAGATGGGAGGCTATAGGAAAAGGAACCCATAGCAGTAATTACCCAAGACACCTATAAGTAGCGAAGGACATACGAGTAGGCAGACAAGTCAAGATTTTCTACATCAGAAAAAATTATTTTACTTTACAAATTCTACGTTTCTGTCACTAGAGTGTGACTAATGGTTAGTTTTGCTAGTGAAAATTCCTACCCCATCCCCCCAAAAAGCATTAAATTTAATTTGCTAAAGCATTTTTTTAAATACTTAACTTTTCTTCCTTTGCCAGTTCCTGTATTCCTTTGGTGTCTGCAGCGGCTTTCAGTATGGGGCCTCTTCCTGCTCTGCAAGGTCGAGTTTCTAAACTGCTGGAACCTACACCCGGGGCAAGCTCAAACATCCACTGAGCTCGGAACATCTGGAGCTGTGTCTAAGAGAAAAGAGTATTTCAGGACCCAGGAAGAGAGAGCAACAGAACCCTGGCATGATTATCAATCTGCCCGGTATCTATTTTTATGTATATTCTTATAATTCTGAGACCAGAAAACAGTCTCTTAAATTACTAAATGCCTGCTAAATATAATCTTTTAAAACCATTTTCTACTTAAAACTTAGAAGGAAATCCTTTAAACACATGTTGTTTAATGTAAAATTCACACAAAGTCAAGTCCCCTATGTGGTAGACTCTGACAGCTGCTCTGATTGCTCTTCAGGAAGAAAAGTGTTGCCTCAGCTTCGGAAACCAGCCAGGTTTCATCCCTTACAGACAGTGCCTCAGCAGGACTGCATGGCGTTCCCACTCCCGACCCAATGGCCTGGCTCTCTTGTGAGGGTTTTCTATCTTCAGAACTCCCTCAGGTCCAGCTAGGGCAGTCCATTAAGACTGCACTGCAGCTCATTTCCCCTACTAGTGTCCCTCTTCCTTCCCCTTCCATGGCACTGATCTCACTTGTGCTTTCAATAAACTTCCTGAAACCTCAACATCCCTCCCAAGGAACTCAATAGAGGATAATTCTCTTTCAGAAGAGGGCCACTGCTAATAGAATTGTGTACATTATTTCTAACTTTTTTTTAAAGGTATCACATAGATGTTAAAAAACTTAAAAAAAATATTCTGTTCAGTGCTTTTTGTTCCACTCTTCTAACATGCTACATACCCTGGGTCTATGTCTACTAACTGATACAGTCCAAATAAAGAAGTTCTATAACGTTTATAAGTTCAGAAATGAGTTTAATTACAGTAATTAAAAAAATATTTTATTTAGTATTTTTTTTTATGTATATGAGTGTATTGTCTGCATGTATGTAAGTGCACCCATGTTGTGCAATGCCTGCAGAGGACAGAAGAGACCGGTGGATCCCCTGGAACTGGAGTTACAGACAGTTGTTAACTGCCATGTGGGTGCTAGTTACAGTTAACTGCCATTTGTGTGCTGGGATTTTAACCCAGGTCTTCTGCAAGAACAGTCACTGTTCTTAGGCAAGAACGGTCACTGTTCTTAACCACTGAGCAATCTCTCCAGCCCCTAATTACAGTAATTTTTTTGAGTTCAATACACAAAGATTTATCTCATTCCTGTAAATGGCTGTAGTGCCTTGTATGACTACACTGTTCCTCAGCATAAGTGATGGCTATTTAGGATATATAAGGATATCTTCTTTATATATAAGTAATGCTATGAACATGTGTATTTACTCATTTCCCCAGTTATTTCCTTACGTTTAATTTCCTGGAAGAACTGCTGTATCAAAAGGAAATGTACACTTTTATTTTTGATACACATTTTGGAAGCACCCACCAGAAAAACTATGGTAGTTTATAACTTCATGTGTACTACATAAGTGTTCTCACAGTCCAGACAGCAATGGACATCATCCAACAAACTGATTAAATTATGAATGAGGCTAATTAGCTCTTAAATATTTAATAACCATTTTTCATTAACTGTTCATCTTTCTATCCTGTGCTCTAATTTATGAGCATGGTCTATACACTGATGGTATTAACCCTATACTTATATGTGGCAGAAAATTGTTCTAGCTATTGCTTTCAACTTTAAGATGCCTTTGTTTTACACAGGCTTTAAATTTTTAAGTGAGTATACAATCTTGTTCTTTAAGGCTATGAGTGTCAAGTCAAGCTTAAGCATTATTTTGAATACTTTAAGCCTACACATTGATAGCCCACACAAATAGTTCAGTGGGTAAAGGCACTTGCCACCAAGTTTAATGATCTCAGTTCAGTCCCCAAGATCCACATGGTAGAAGGAGAGAACTGATTCCCACACGTAGTCCTTTGACCTCCCATACTGGCACTGTGGCACATGCACCCATATGCGAGGGCACGTGTGAACACAGATACACACAAAAGTGTACTAAGACGCTGGGTGTGGTAGCACACACCTTTACTCCCAGCACTCGGGAGGCAGAGGCAGGAGGATCTCTGAGTTCAAGGCCAGCCTGGTTTACATAGCTAGTTCCGGGCCAGCTGAGGCTACAGGGAGACCCTGTCTCAAAAGGACCCCCCCCCCAAAAAAAAAGGTACTAAGAATGTAAGCCTACATTCGTGGAGCCTGGTATGGTGGCACTTGCCTGTAAGCCCAGCATTTGGGAGGTTCATTGAATTCCAAAGCAGCAATTATTGATACTTCTAACAAGAAGAGAAATCCATGACACAGTTTAAGTATGCTATAAAGAATATGAAAATCCAGCTAAATTCAATGCAAATAAGAACTTACAAATCTCCCCAATTATGTCCAATCTCTGTGCATGTATGGGAAGAAGGGAACAAAAGTTCAGTGGGTAACTGAAGATACATGCCTGCAGGTCTGTTTCAGCAGGACTCTCACTCTCCTCATCTGTTCTGACAGAATCAGAATGACAATCTTCCTCAGCCTCTGCCTGGGGAGAAGAAGCACAGTTTCATCACAAATAGGCAGACACCATTTTCCTTTGTAATCCACCTTGCAGTTAAAGTCTGTGGACCACAATTTGAGCATCAAGGCTGCAGGGTGCATTTGCGACCTTACTATTATTTCCAAAGAAAAACAAGTCTGAAAAGCACGTTCTTTATTCCAAACCACAGTAGTATTAACATCACTATGAATCTTAAAATCTTATTGCCCAGAATTTAAAATTGATTCCACTCACCCAAAAGTCATTTGAGATTTGCTATCAGTAAATGTTTTCTGATCTCTTATTTCCTATAAATTGTGGCTGGATCTCAAGGAAATTGAATGGGGTCTGGTAAGGACTACTTCACAGACAATGTGTTTTCAATCAGAAAAGCAAGTGTTGGGAAATGTGGTTAGCAACATACTGCTGCTAGCATTCCAAACAGTTATTTCAGCCAAGCTAAGGAAAAAAACCTCAAAATAAATTTGCTTTCATAGAATTCAGCAAATTTGCAAAGCTATACTGTTTTATGCCCATGCAATACAATGCTGCTTCTCTCTAGGTGTTTTCTTCACTGGTAAGTTTAAAAGGTGCCAATAAAATAAAGTTTGTACTGTAATTTTTATAATACTGCATACTCAACTCCACTAGGCTCCAGTTTAAAATGTTTTGGTAGAGGTTGGTGAGACGGCTCAGTGGGTAGAGCACTTGCCATGCAAGTCTGACAAGCTCAGTTTACCTGGAACCCAGGTAAAGGTAGAAGGAGAGAACTGACTCCACATAAATTGTCTTCTGAATGCCACAGACACCATGACATACACATGTCCATAATCACCATACACAGGATAATAAATGAAAATTGTTTTTTGTACATTTTAAAATGTTTTAGTAGGTGCTGGAGAGATGGCTCAGTGGTTAAGAGCACTGGCTGCTCTTGCAGAGGATCTGGGTTTGGTTCCCAGTACCCACACGATGCCTAACACCCACCTATAACTCCAATTCCAGGGGGTCCGATGCCCTCTTCTGATCTCCAAGGGCTCTAGGCATGCATATGATGCACTTACATATACGAATGCATTCACATATACACTTAAAATAAATGAACAAATATTTTAAAAAATGTTTTAGGGGGCTGGAGAGATGGCCCGGCAGTTAAGAACACTTGCTGTTCTTCCACAGGACCTGGGTTCAATTCCCAGGACCCACATGGTAGCTAACAACCATTCATAACTCCAGCTCCAAGACATCTGAAACCCTTTTCTGGTCTCAGAGGGGCATTGTACACATGTGGTGCACTTACATACATGCAGGCAAAACACTCATACACATAAAATAAAAATATTTTAAAAAATGTTTTAGTAGGTGCTTAGAAAGAAGAACTTTGGTTCTGGGTAATATGGAGGACCAGAAAGTGACTGTGAGTGCCCCAGGTTAAGAGAAGTCAGTACAGGAAAGAAAGGGGGCCAGTGCAATGGCTCAGTGGGCCGAGGAACTCAGGTCTGACAACCTGAGCTTTATCCCAGATCCCAAGAGTGGCAGGAGGAAAACGACTCCCGAGTCTTCTGACCTTCAAATGTGTTGTTGCATGCACACATCTGCACTCACACACACACAGTAGGTAAATTTTAAAAAACTTAAAGAAAGAAAAGGCTCTGTTTCAAAGAAAGAAAGAGCAAAGAGGAAGAGCATTGGAAATTCACAAAGGCATCGATGGAACAACTGAAAAGTATGGGGAAAACAATGGACAACCAACTGAAAAGAAGCCAAGCTGAACACAGCTCCAGCCATCTGGCTCCCCTGGAGGGATATAACAAGAAATCAATAGCAAGAGATACTACAGTAAACGGAAAGTGGTGGTATATGCCTGTAAGGCCAGCACTTGGGAGGTGGAAGCAGGAGGCAACGTCATCTTTGGCGGCATAGCAAGTTCAAGGCTAACCTAGCCTACAAGAGACCCTGTCTCAAAGCAAAACAAACAAAGGCAAGCAAAAAAGACAAGAACAACAACAAAAAGCCCCAACCACACAAAACTATATAAATACTTGGAGACTGAATGAATACACTTTTGAATGACCAGTGGATCACTGAAGAAATCAGGGAGGAAATTTTAAAAATCCTAGAATAAAATGTAAATGGGGGCTAGAGGAACAGCTTAGTGGTTAAGAGCACACTGCTCTTCCAGAGGACCCGAGTTCAATTCCCACCACCCACGTCCAGCAGCCTCTAAATCAGCTCCAGGGCATCTTCTGGCCTCCTCCTATACCTGCACTCACATTTACATACCCACACCCAGACACAGAACTAAAACAAAACAAAAGGACCAGGCTAGATGTTCACCAACGGATGAACGGATAAAGAAAATGTGGTATATACACACAATAGATGTTTACCTTCTTAAAAATGAAAACCTGCCATCTACAGGAAAATGGATGGAACTGGAGAACATTATGCTAAGAAATAAGGCAGACTCAGACAAATACTACATGTGTTCTCTCATATGTGGAATTAGGAAGTGTGTGTGTGTGTGTGTGTGTGTGTGTGTGTGTGTGTGTGTGTGTGTGTATGTGTGTGTTTAAGCCAGCTCTGGCACACTGTTACCTACAAGTTGTCAAACCCGGGTGGCTACTGGGAAGTGGTGGCATCTGTCATGCAGTTATGCAAATCCCCTCCTGTTGGGGACGGAGTGTGGAGAAGGGACACATGGCTGTGTGTGTCGGCAGAATATTGGATTCACAGGGCATAAAAGCAGGAGAGATCTGTGTGAGGTAAGGAACAGCAAGAGAGGCTGGACGACAGGGCAGTACAGTGTGGGATGAGATGAGTAAGAACCAAGTATGATGATATATATGTGCAAATGTCATAACAAAACCCATTGCTTTGTGTTCACTTAAAAAAGGAACAACTTAGCTGCAGAAAACGTAGAGTTCAGCAAACATTTTTGTCATGGGTCACTTAAAAAACTAATCCACTGAAAGACAGCTCTTTTTTTTAATATAACTGACAGGTTATTAGATGTGTTCTACGTGAATGATTTCTATTTTTTAAAACATTTTAAGTGTACTAGGGAAGCTCATTACTCAAAGAATTGTAACTGACGGCTGTTTATCTAGAAAGCCTGTCTTTTCCTTCTTTCTTTCTTTCTCTTTTTAGCACTTGGGAATCAAATCCAGAGCCTTGCACATGGTAGGCAAGCACTCAACTGCTGACCTATATCCCAAATGAACTAACCCCTTCTATTTTATCTGTAGTATAAATCCAATTTTTTATTGAATTTTTCATATTGGAGTGGCTTAAGGTAGAATAAAGCTGGACTGAATTATTGTACAAGGCTTCAGGCTTAATGAAAATTTCAGTTTAGATTCCTTCCATTTTATTCTTTTGGTCTCAATAAATTAAATAAACTAAAATGAATCCTACCTTTCCACAAAAATGAAACACAGCCTCAGTTCAGTCTGTTAGCTAATACACTTATCAGCAAAGGGAACTTGTTCAACACTTAAGGTGACCAGTCCTACACAGAATGTGGCAAGAAGGGAATGACCTTGTAAACCCAGCTTAAAAATAACAGTAAAACCAATTTACCTCCTCTGGTCTCTACATACATGTTCATAAGCCTGTGTGCACAACAGCATATACACGTGCAGCTGTACACAAAGAGAAATAAATGTACATACCCTGCCCCCAAAGAAAACCAAAATACAATTTCATCTACTTCCAAAGATAGCAACTCTCGTAATGGGAAATTTTAGCTGTAAGTTATTTCCAAGAGAGAAAACAAAATGTTTCTATTATGGAAGATCTTTGAACACAGCAAGCAGATCTACTTGTACTACAGTCAGTGTAACATAAATAAGTTTGCTTCCTATCTTATCTCTGGCAGCCAGACTCAAAAGCAGAGGGGCCTGAAACACTTAACTAGCTAGTTTGGAGTGAAATGGCTGGCACACTATAAAGGTGACATCAGTGAGTATTTGCTCTAAGTCTGGAGCTTAGATTTGGATAAAGTACTTGGGCAGATGTCCCCTAAGGGACCATGAGTATAAGGCTTAGTCCTCAGGTTGGCACTACTGGGTTCTGAGGGAACCTGTAGGATTTAGGGCCTGACAGGAAGGGTTTAGGTCATGGGGGCATGTCCTCGAAATGGGCTGTGGGTCGGACTCCTTTCTCTTCTGTACCCTGGTTCATGAGGTAAGTGGTTTCTTCCCCCAAGTGCTCCTGCCATGCCTCGCTGGTTCTTCAGAGCCCAAAGCAATGGGGCCTCCTGATTTCAGAATAGAACCACCTGAACTTTGAGCCAAAATAAACTATAAATTAATTATATCAGTATTTTGTTGTAATAAAAAGACACTTAAACCTCCTGGGAAAATACATGAAGGACTTTAAAAATGCACAGATCCCACTGAGACTATTTGTCTCTCTTTTCAAGTAAGGGTCTCATTTATTACAGCAAACTCTAAGCACAGCTAATGAGAAAGGACCTGAATCCCACAGACTATTTTCTTGGTAATTTGGCCTCCGAATTTATTGCCTGGCAGTCAGACTGTAAACTATCTTCATCTGAAGAGCAACCCTGCTCTCTCCAATTGGTGCTCTAACATGCTGCTGGCTCTACTTACTTGGAATGCCTTCTGCCCCACTTAGCTGCTTCTACTCACATATCTTTACAGATTCAGCTAAGGGGTCACCTTAGCAGTATTTCTGATTATCTTTCGTGTTACCTTAAATTTTTATTGAGGTTATTTTTGTTTCCTTCACTAAAGTGCATGAAAGGCAGGAACTATATCTTGGTCATCAGTGCATCTTTAACATCAAACACTGTATGATTCTTGGTAAAAGCCAGGAGTTTGCTGTTGTTGGTTGAAACACCAATGACAAGCTGGACTGGAACTCACTTGGGAGCCCAAGCTTACCTCAAAGTTGCAGTGATTTTCCTGCCTTAGCTTCCTGAGGGCTGGATGGATGGGATCACAAGCAGGAGATAACTAATTACAAAGGGCCCTCTTTCTCCTCTTTAAAGAGAGACGTCTGTAAAGAGATCTGGTGACTTCTGCAGTATATTTTCATATGTGACATTCCACAACTACAAGTTTTCACAAATCATTGCATAGGTTTGGTAATGCTGAAGATCTGGTACTGTGCCAAAATCCAAACTATCCCAGGCTAGTAACAGATGCTCCAAAATGTATGAATACAGAATGCCTGTCTCAAGGACAAGAAAATGGGAATCCTGTAATAAAACGACAGCTGTTTTCCTGACAGAGATCTAATCCATCATTACCTTTGTTTCGACAGTATCTTAGAAATAAGAAATATGGGGTTTTAGAACATTTGGTCATTTAGTCAATCCACACTACTTTGAGTTGCCGCAACCTTAAGGCTTTCGATTTTTTTGTAACTAATTTTGACTGTTTTTTAATTAATCCTGGTTGAGAACTACTTCTAAACTTAGAATAATCAATTGTTCTATGCACCAGGTTAGCTGCACGAAATAAACAGTTCAGTCAATTCACTTCTTTTAAAAAAAACAAAAACAAAAACTTAGGGTCTTCTAATTCACTCGGTCTAGCCGGAGACAGGTCCCCGTGGGATCTGAGTGGCCAGCACCGGAGCCTGGCGCAGCTCTCCATGCCGCCAGCAGAGAAGCCGCCCTGGCTGACTGGGGCCTCGCCTCGCCTCCCTCCGCGCCCGCGCCAGGCCAGCCCGGCAGCACCTGGCCGGCCAGTACAGGCGGTGCACTTGAGCCGTCTGCAGGCCCAGCTCCTAGACCCGGCAATCAACAAGTGTCCGCTGGCCCGGGCTGCCTCCCTCGCTCAGAGGCCAGCGCCCTCCTTAAGCCGTGTTCACCCGGCCCGCGGCCCTTTCCTCCGCCGTCCCTCAGGCGCTAGGCCCCGGCCGGATCGCCGGCGTCGGAGAAAGGAGACCGGGGAGGCGTGAGGGCGGTGCAGCCCCCGCCTCTGCCCCGCCGTCCAACCCGGCCCGGCCCCCGCCCCCCCCCACACACACCCCCGCTTACCATGTTGGCGGGCGGCGGCCCAGGCCGAGGCTCTCGGTGCCCCGCTCCCGAGGCTGCCGGCCGTCTACTCCTGCCCGTCCGCTGTAGCGGGACTTAGCAGAGTTCTCGGTCGGAGAAGCGCACCAGGCAGCGGCAATAACTGCGGGCCCGGCGTACGGCAGCCATCTTCACAGGGCAGGGGGCCGGGGCCAGGCGCGCTGCTGCAGGCGGGGACTCGGACTGCGGAGGGGCGACGGCGGCCAGCGGATGCCGAGTACCGGAGAGGGGAGGGCGGCCAGGCGAAAGACGTCCGACGCGGTTGCGGAGCTGCCTGCTCTGCTGCAGAGCCTGCGCCGCCGTACCGCACATGCGCTCTGCAGCCCGCCGCGCGCTGCTCGCCGTCCCAGGCCGCGTGATAAGGCCTTGGGCCTACTGTGTTCGTAGCAGCACCAGGTTGGGCGAGGCCGCGGGGCCCCACGCATCCCACCTCGGCCCAGGGAACACCAGAGAAGACGGGAGCAGGCTTTAACACAAAGTGCTTTAACTTTAGAGTAGAGCCCCTGACTTGACTGGATCCTAACTGGATTTTAGGGGACGGTCGTTTCGTGGCCCTGGGCACTGAATACCAGGCCAGAATGCGGGGACAGAGCGACACTCGACAGCAGTCACAGGCTATTAGGAACACTCAACCTCACAGACTCCAGACGCAGGAAAAGGCGTCCGGCAGAGGAGCAAGTCGCACCAAGGGTTGTCGAACTACAGATCCCACAATACAACGCGAGGCCTGAAACCCGAGTTTGTGGGGAACGTCGCTGCAAGGCACTCTGGGATTTGTGGTCGGCTGTTCGACGTTGAGTCGGAATTTGCACACCCACCCAGCTCCGCCTTTCAAAACCCAAACTGCGGATTTCTTGTCAAGAGAAGGCACTGGGATTACCAAAAGATATGTTAATTTTTCCACACTTTAAACTTCACCTACAGGCCTACGCATTTTATCAAACTTTAGGGCCTTCATAGCCTCTTGTTGCTATTTAGTCAATTTTACTGAGTTGCTGTAACTGCTAACAGGATGCTAAGACCCTACATCAAGCTACCTCACAGGAATTAAATGTGTACTTTGTTAGCTTATTCTGAAGCTCTTATAAATGACGTACATCTTCAACAAAGAACTGGAGGTAAAAGGGAAGGGGGTGCAGGTTGATTAGCTACAATAAGAAAACGCAAATCCTGTGTATGTTTTTTTTTTTTAATGTGTATATTGTGTGTAGTCTAACCTACTGAGTCCAGTTAATGCTGTCTGCTGGAATACTAGCTGATCTTGTTGGCTTGCTCTTGTGCACGTCTTGTGCAGGTAACCATAACTGCTGTGGGTGCCTGGGTACAACAGCCATGTCATGTACAGAAGACATTTCACAGCTCTCCTCCCATCCTTGGGCTCTTACATTCTTTCCACCCCCTCTTCTGCAATGTTCTCCGAGCTGTAGTGTGTGTGTGGGGGGGGTATTGATATAGATGCCTCATTTAGGGCTGAGCACCAAAAGTCACTTAGTCTCAGCACCTTAATGAAGAATGGCATCTACTATGTAGAGATATGCCCTTGTCTCCTCCCTTAAGGGCTAATCCAGGGGACAGGCCTAAGAAGGCAGTAGCAGACTTTTCCCTTTCAGAATTCCCACCCTCTAGTGCAGTCCCTAGGAGCCACCACAAGTTTCCTCCTGATCTGTCTTCCTTCCAGAGTCTTGAATCAGAAAGAATAACTATTTTCCTTTTCTTCTTTTTCTTTCAGATGCACCAGAGCTTTTTAAACTCCTAACACATTGGGCTTCCTTGCTCTTCTCCTAAGGTTCACCTCTCCACCCTGGTGCTCTCTGCTACCATGTGGGTTGGTGGCCGACACCCCTGCCTGCTTATTTGCTGTATTCTCCTTCAGGCAATGAGGAGATATACAGCTTTCTTGCCCTGGACTTTCCTTTTGAACTATTAAGAAATCGCCTTTTAAGCGTCCCTTTGAGTGCGTTCTTCCTCCTCAAGCTTCCCTTTGTGTTTGTTCTTAAATTCGTTTATTAATGAGACTGAGACCCTAAGAGGAGACTCAGATTTCATATGGTTGTTGCAGCCAAGGTCCCTTTGACCTCCTCCCCGCGGGGGCAGGGGATAAGTAGGCGCGAAGTCAAGGACACAGACTCCCGGACACTCACTAGGCAATGTGCAAGTGAGCTCATTTATTGTGAACACAGGCGTCTCCTTTATACCCCCTTCCCTCCTCCCATTGGTCCCTTATGTCCCATTGTCATCCTTCTATTGAAGCTGTGGATGTGTTGTTGGTTTCTAGCTGTCAGGGCAGATTTCTGGTCAGCACCTTCCTGCTCATCAACAGGAAGCAGGGTGCGCCTGCGCTGTTGGTCTCATGCCTAGCCTCCTACATATGATGACGCTGAGGGACTCCCCACAATTTCTGGTAACACTTCTTTTCTGCCTTTTAATAAAAAAAATATGTATTATATTTATGTGTGCAGGTGTCCTCAAAGCCCAGAGGCCATTGGATACCCTGGAACTGGAGTTACAGGTGGTTGTGAGTTGCCTAATGTAGGTGCTGGGAACCAAACCTGGGTTCTTTGCAAGAGCAATATGTGCTCTTACCATGGAACCATCTTTTAATTTCAGCCCCGTTGTCTCTTAATTTTTCAATTGGTGGAGAAAACAAACCCATTCCTACACCCCCAGGTGGCATCACTTTGACCAGTTATGAGTCTCTGCCTTAACTGCTGCTCACTGTAGAAGAAGCTTCTCTGCCCAAGGTTGAAAGCAGCATCGATTTATGGGTATACATATAAACATTTAGAAGGCAGTTTGACAACATATTCACTTAGTAAAACAATAGTAGTAGGTTACCCCCTAGGGTCTGTGACCTCCAGAGCCATGGGCTTTTGATCAGGTTTTACAGTACCAGCCATGAATTTCTTCCTATGGAGCAGGTCTCAGAGCACCAATGGTCACATCCTACCTAAAGCCTGTATTTTAGAACACCCCCTTCACATGGATATGATTTTATTTACACTGTAAATAAACTACTTATAAAACTTACCTTTATGTTGAATTGAGGCCAACAGTTTAATAGTTTTGTTTATAAAGAAGATTCTAGGGTTTAGGTCTTTCAAAGAAAAGTTTTCTCCCAGGGATTCC